CTATGTTTCCAAATACCTCTGGCTGTTACTGAGTTTCTCTGTATAGGAATTTGTAGAGTATACTCGATACCGTCGTAATTGGTTGGTATGGAGCCACTGCCTAGCTAGGCTTGAGTGCTTTTTGTCTGTTTAACTTTAAAATATATGGACATGTTCTCGGACTGAGTTTTCTTTTGTGACCAGTTCCAATATACCTCTCTGTTCTTTTGGTGGCATGCGTACAAGGCTTGAGAGTTGCCACCCTTTCTGTAATATTACATATCAAAAAATATAATAGTTTGTCACAAAATGTAATCATAACTTTCATATTCTGATCTGGCTAACTGTGGAAACTTCAGTTAAATCTCACCACAACTGGAATATTTATGGAAATCTGGAACTGTAAAATGTAGCCAACAGCCTGCTTGAATTTGATACTGGTAAGTAGATGGGATATAGCAGAACGCTGGGACCCCCCTCCCCCCAGGGTTTGGCATGATAGCTGCAGCCATCTTAGCATACCTTCTCCTGACAGCAGCCTGCATTTCTTAGCACAGTTCCTCTCTGTCCCAGTTGTTTGTTCACTGGAAAGCAAATAGGGTGCCTTTTGGGTTTTCACTCAGCAGCTGACCCAAACTATTCCTAACACTTCAAGATGCCAACAGTGCATGATTAAGCCAACACCTTCAAATTATGATAGCAGATATGGAGAAATGTTTTTGGTATGCTCTAGACAACTGGCCATCAAGGCTGTAAGTTGAAAGGAACGGCAGAAAAAAAGGAAAAGGCTTATGGTCTACAGATGTTGTAGAAATGATTTCTTCGGGCATAGTATAGTAGAAATTCTGACAAAACTTCCTGTGACTAAGTATGTAAGCCCAAAGTGCTGTCTTGTGTATAAAGGAATGTGAAACTGGTCATAGGAGATGCTTTTGGACGTTTCTAGGGTACGGGGTCATATGTGATGTCAGCTATGACATTTGGCTTCAGCAGTTTTGTATGTTATGAAATAGTACTGAAAAATCTTTGGGCAAATTCCATGTAACAGGTAGAGTGGTTAAAGTTGAGGAATTCTGTATATGATATTCAAAATATGATGATGGTGTACTATGTTTGCAACATGAAGGGTATTCCTGTACTATGAATCCAAAGTCAAATACAGAATTCATAGCCAATTGGTGGAATCAATGATTCTTGCAATCATTCAAGTTTTTTACTTGTCTTGCTGTATTCTAAGCACAGTGATAAGCTGATGATCTTAGGTTATTGGAGAAACACAAGAACTTTGTTTTCAAAAGCTCTTCAGTCTTGGTCGGAATCCTCCATCAGCAAGATGAGATCCCACTGTATATCTCTGTTACATAATGAGGTAATCCCCCAGGACAGGCCTGTGCACAAGCCTTGGGAAGTACAGTCAAGGTATGTGCAGAAGAATCTCGGCCCAGTGTAGCATGTATAAACGGAAGGGTCAGGTTTTCTTATCTGTCCACAACTTGTCTGCAAGGCAAGGGCAGTGCCTCACTATTTTTATCTTGTCCCTTTGATGCCAATGGGGTAGCCTGGATATAACTTGGATCACAATTCAGATAAAATGCATCAGTTGACTTATAAAATACACAAAAGAGTTCAAATGGATAAAAAATATTTGAATATAGGATCCTTTCAATTCACATTACAGTACTGTATAGCTTTTCTCACCAAAGTCAAAAGAAAATGTACCAGAGAAACCTTGGAAAACTATTGCATGAAATCTGTTAAATAAGATTTCTTGCATAACACAACAGCCGATCACAAACAGGTCAGATATTTACCACAAACAGCCAGCTGTAATCAAAGACGTACTATGTATGATCAAGTCCATGTCAACCTGTGCAACTAACTTGAACTTTGCTCTTCTTGCTAGCATTTACTTTCTGTTCCCCGCCCATGTCATTACCTGCTGTCTGGAAGTTTACAGTGTGACAATGACTACTTTGGACAGACACAGAGCAGCAGCCACAGGCTTGTAATGGCTGGTAATTAAAAGTCCATTTGGGAAAAGGTTTGAGGTCACCTCCACTATTGACAGTCCTTTTAGGGAAAATTGTAAAGTCATTCATCCTGTCACAGAACCAAGTTCGGGGTTGAAAGAGTCTGTGTACACAACGTACTCTCAGCATTGGTGGGGAAACCAATTTGGGTCATGATTACTGCTAATAGAAGGCACTTTAGGTTATTAAAGTCCATTTGGTAAAAAGTTCAACCTGCAGGCATATGCCATGTTTGCTCAAGCAAGTGCAATCCAATTTGTTTCAATGAGGGAACTTTCCGAAGTTGGTACGTACTTATAAAGTCAAACTTGGTAATGTGCTGTGCTTGTGCTTGTCCAATACCATTATATGAAATTGTACATAGTTATGGGTAATGTCTCTTCAATTCAATACACTGTAAAATACTAGTCAATATTTGTCATGTGCAAGAGGTTTGTTACTAAGTACTAATGCCTTTCTGTCATTTTTTATTTGACCAACTTTCATATACAATATAGTAGGGCATGAACATGACAATCTAAAGATGGTAGGGTGAAAAGTTCGTGATGACTGGCAAATGTTTGACAGGAAAGCAGAGCAGTTATCTTTCACAGTGGGTCCTGCATCCTCTCTTTTTACTCCAGTGTTTTTCCACACACTTTGCCTGTTGACGATTCCTCTGAGATGCCTTTCCAAATCTTTGTGCAGGGCTGTTTTGCTATGTTTCCCTGTTTACCTTTGTACTGGATGGGAGCGACAGAAAAACAACTTATAGCAGCAGAAAGGAAGCCTTGTTCTTCTACAGCTCTCATATTATAACATTAGTGGATTTATTTTAAAAGAACATGTATGACATGGACTTTAGAATTGTCCATGTTAATTGTCCATGGATTTTCAGCAAGGACACTTGAGATGGAATGAAAGACACAAGAAACATGGATTTTGGTATAGTATTATCATCCTGGGGATCTGTAGAGGTCAGGGTAAGGTCAAAATGGATGCCTGCTGGTAGCTCCATGGGGTTGGGAGGAGGGGGGGGCAGAGGTCTAGACAGACTTGTCCTGTGTCCATTTTAGGGTCCGGGGCATTTCTGGTATGGACGCAGCAGTGATGGAATTAGAAATCCCTGCAAGGATGACTAGACTGACCTTCTTTCCTGAAGCTTGATCTTGGAGGCATAAGTCTTTTCTTCGTGTACATTTGATATACATAAATACAATAGTAGATGAAGATTTGAAATGCGACATATTTTCTGTTATTTTTATTTATCTATTTATACTGACTTATGAAAACACTGGCATATGGGAAATGTAGTTGTAGATGACAGCTGTACATGTCCTTTGTCTTACCAAGAACTACTCACAATTGTTTATTTATCTTCCATGCCACTGATTTTACATAGTCTACTTTTTAGAAATACTATATCACCTGGAAGCTGTTCTCCCTCTGTGACCTCATTAGTTAAATGTCCCCTGTTCAGTCCTAACTCTTTGGTACATTCCAGTTTAAGTAAGAGAACCCTATGTGCCAACAGGCAAACTTGACCCTGTCAACATGCAACATGGACCTGTAGTGTTCTGATCCTTGATTCAATAAACATCTGTAAGTAATTTAAGGGTGGTCAGCCCAAAACCTGCCTCAGGTTACAGCAAAATTTAAGAGGTCAAATATTTTTCTTGGACAGACTTGCTGAGATATGCGTGTGCTTGCTTGCTTGCTAGTGTTGGGCATGGTTTTTTATTTGGCTCTGCAAGACTGGAGCAACATGGGATAGTAATGTAGTTAAATTAATTGTACAGAAGTGAAGTTGCATCAAATATTTAGATCAATAGACCAAGTGTTACACTAATATGTAAGTCTCATTCTTGACTTATTAAATTATATACTGTTGATATTAGATGATAAAACTTTCTCAGTTGTTATATTTTTGTTCTACCACAAATGCATGACACTGCAAATATCTGTTTGTCTTGCTGATGTACTACAGAACTGCGAGAAGTGAACATCAAAAACATTTTCCCTCATACCACAAATTTAAAACCACTGCAAAAGTAGATGCATTTACAGTACTCCATGTAGTGTTCTTACTATGGGGCCAAAATATCAGTCTTAATGCTATATTCAATCTACCAGTGAAATGATATTAAAACATATATTGTTGTCTCCCCCACAGATGTAGCGATGGACTGGTCCGACCACGGCTTCTGGTGGCCGCAGAGGAACTCGTGGCTGCTGCGGACCCACTGGACGCTGGACAAGTGTGGCGTCCAGGCCGACGCCCAGCTGCACTTCACCCCCACCCACAAGAACCTGCGGGTCCAGCTCCCCGACCTGCAGCTCGTCGACCTGAAAGTCGACTTTTCCTACATGGCGTTCAACGCCATCATGTCTGTATGTGCCATGTTAGGTGAGTGGAATGAATGCAGCCCTTAGATAGGGCCTTAGAAAGTTAACGTTGTGTTTCCGGTTCCAAGTCCAGAAAAAATGTTTCAGAAATTCAGAAGGTTTGAAATTCTTTTCATCTCATCATCTCATCTCAGTTTCAGATACTTGAACTTGAGTAGGTTACTTCTAAAAGGGATACAAATCTGTGTAGGTAGGAAAGGTTGCCAAGCAAAAAGGCAAGAAAATCTCAAATACTAGTATTACATTAGTAATGGTTTGATATGTGCATAGCTGATGTACATAAAGACACAGACCATTTCTTTGTCTAGTATAAACATCGTCTTAAGTATTTGCTGGTGACTGAAAAACAGAAGCTTTTTTGAGAAATCTCATTGAATTTGAAGCTGCGTCACTAAGCTGTGGTAGCTAATAAGACATCTTGCCCTTTTCCAGGTATCCGCCATCCAGAGGAGTTGTCTTTCATGAAAAAGGTAGATGAACGGACTTTGAAACGGGGAGAAAAAAGAGGCAGCTTTAAAAAGAAGAAAGGCGAAAAGTACTCCTCGCCCGCTTCTTCCGCAAACAATAGTGATGCTTCCTACCCCACCACCCCCACACCCAGCATGATGGACGGAACCCATACGACGCCCAGAAGTGCGAGTATGCCCGGTAGCCCTTACAGATCCGCTCCCCACACACCGGGGACGCCGCTCACGCCGGGAACACCCAGCGGTTACAACACGTACCCCAGGGTACCCAGCTACAACGGAACCAGCCCTGTGTCGTCCAGCTACAGCCTGAGTTCCTTCCCAGACAGTCCTTACAGCGATGGGAGCAACCTGTCCGCCCTGTCCATTAGCCCGGCCAAGCCGTCTTCAGAAGCAGTCGCCACCCTGCACAGACCCAAGAACTACGTGGAGAGAGCCAGGCTAAATTCTTTGTAAGTATGGGTGGGGTTGGATGTGTTTCTCAACATCATAGTAACTTCCTAGTGCCATCCAATTTGCTACAAGGCTCCTTATATTCGCTGCCCGTAGTATAGGAGCCCCAATATGCAAATATGATGTCATCCAGGCTAGAACTTGCTACTTGTCCATGAAAATTTTATCGCAACAAGATTTGTGTTGCAAATGTACAACTCACTCACTCACTCACTCATTCACTCACTGACTTTCTTACCCACTCACTCATCTCTGCATGCTGCTGGTGAAAGCATGTCACCTCAGAATGTGTCAACTGAAATAGAAAAATTAAAATTTGATATGGGTAGTTGCGATCATGAACATTAAGGATGTTTATGTATATGCCAGCTGGCATGTTTATTGATGTTTCATATGTCACCATGATATCCTTGAACACTCAACAGAAGTGTTCTATACTGCTATATAAGTGACCACGAAAAGTCCAGCACCCTCCTGGCAAGTGCCTTACCAGATGTCCCCTTTACCCCACATCTGAAACAAGGTCACAGAGATGGGAGTATTTTTAGCTGGGTGATTCTGGAGTAACCAAGTTTGCCTATCTACTTCAGCAACTGGGGAGATAGTATTTGGGTCATTGCATGTAAAAGGAAGTTTGGCCCTGTGATATCAGACCAAGCCAAACCTTTGGTTGAGATCACTGGCCATGGCTAAATTAGTTATCGGATCAAGTTCAAAGCTTCCGCTCCATTTTGAGTTGAAACCTCCATAGCTACTGCAGAATGTGGGCAAAGGTTTTGC